ACTACCTAGCTTCTAGCTGTGACCTTTTTCAGAGTTATTTGCTATTTGATGCCCTTTTCACCGGGTGCTGTTGTGATGGGTGGAGGAGAGGCTCCTTATAAGGAGATCTCTGGCTGCCCAGGAGCGAGCTTGGCCTGGCGGTGAAACTGAAATCCTTCCTGTCACTCATGATCTCAAGGTGGTTATGAATGTTTGTATGCGTTTGTAAAGTCAGATTCAAAATGTTTTCTCCGGATTAGCAGTTAATTCGTCTTTCTGTAATTTACTAAAATTAACCACACCTTAATATTTAAATTTGGATTAAACTTATATATTTATAAGTATTTAGCAAAATTTATTTAATTAATGTGTGCATTGCATTAGCAAAATAAATAAATCCGAATGTAATCATGTCTATTTTGGTTGCTATGTGTTGTCTTTGTGACATAATAAGGTTTACATTTCCATGGCAGTGGCCTGTGTACAGTAGCTTGTATTGCTGCTCAGGTATTTAATGGGCAAACCCATGTGACTGGGAGCTGTTTTCAATTAATAAAGATGGCATTTGCGTGAAGCATTTAGAGAGCAGTTTCCATGGAACACACTAAATAATACATTCAATTAATGAGCAGTTGTCCTTTCCCAGAACCAAAAGCACCTACAGTGTGCCCCAGAGGTGACCATGTGCTTACAGAAGCGATTATAACCACATATATATTTGAGCATTTTTAAAACATCCTTACTCTGATGTGAGGAATATAGTGCAATTCAGGTTAATATAGTCGTTTTAAGTTAGAAAAAAAATAATTTGACTGGATGAGTGTCACTGTTAACTGTTCATTAATGAAACCTAATGGCACTTGTTTAAACATTTATATTTTGCATCGGATTAAAACACATGGAAAGGTGTGCCATCGAATGTAAGATATTTTTATTTATTTCTGTCAAACAATTTGGTGAACGTCGTCTTTTGGCGAAGCATTAAAAATAATTTAATGGGGCAGCCAAGGACAATGCCTGCATTATTTTGGTGCCTGCATAAAATAGTTTTGGCTTTCCGAGAGAGCACCCTGCACAAAGAGTTACGTTCTACCCTTATTTTTACCTTAATCTCTTTTTAGAATAATTTATTTTGGTGGGCGAGCTGTGGACCAGGCATCCCTGAGATGTCTGAAAATCCTTGGATTCCCGCTGCCCCAGCCTGCTGAGATACATGTGTATCCCTGTAAAATATTTCATGCCGGACTGCTATATTTCTGCAGGCTTCCTTTGACCCAAGCGGTGGGATGAAAGTCATAATCGAATCGGAGGCTAATGACGCACAGGTGGCTTCTGCCGCCCCCAAAAATATAAAAAGCACATTTATACCATTGAACCTCATTTGCCAGAAAAAAATATGATAATTGTTTTTTACCCTTTTATCTGGCAACAAAACTGACACCTTTTTTACAAGGAGTCATGCTTGCATAGACCACAATACCTGCAGTCATAATGCAAACAAAAAACATAACTCTGATAATGTGCACTGTCCTTGAAGTTGATTGGTCCACACCTGAGACAGCTTTTCTTAGAGCCTAGTCTCACATGGTGTTGGACCAGATGATGCAAAAGGCGTCATCTGTCTTGGGTGTGGACCAATCAACTTCAAGGACAGTGCACATTATCAGAGTTATGTTTTTTGTTTGCATTATGACTGCAGGTATTGTGGTCTATGCAAGCATGACTCCTTGTAAAAAAGGTGTCAGTTTTGTTGCCAGATAGAAGGGTAAAAAACCAATTATCAAACACATTTGTGTCGGTTGGGGGGATGGATCGTCAAGCGCGTTGGAGTGCAACAACCTCTTGCTGTCCCGCAGACCTTGTTTTAAAATGGGGAGATCGTGCCTTGGGCGTGCCATGGCTGCCTGTCCTGTCTGGCCAGAAAGGTTTTTCTCAGAATCCGTACTTGCTTCAAAGAATGCAGAAATATTAATGTATTTGTCAGTGTGCTTTGCAAGTGGTATGTTATGGACTGGCATGGCTGCAGGGTTGTTCTTGGAAGTTGGCATGCATAGCTCGGAGTCTGAGTTACTAACTTAATCCACGAGTCATGAGACCTTTACAAAATATGATTTTTTATAACATATGGACCAATTGTGATTTCCTGTTAAGCAATGCCTTTGAAGTTATTGTTCCAAGTTTAAATGTGTTATTTGTTTAGTGCCTCAACCACCAAAATAAACATCTGTGTTGGAATTGTGACCAGACTTCTTATAAATATGGACTCAACTTTTCACCTTTGCTAAAAACGGATCGGTCCCAAGTTCAATATTATACATGTGGCCTTAATGTTGCCCTTCCTAGTCTGGGTATTTAATATGGTGCATTCCATTTCAGGTGGGGGTGCTGCAGGACTTGACTCAAAAGTTATGGCCAGTTTGGGACCCTTTCGGAAACTGCAATACAGTACCCTGTGTAATCATCACCTAGTGGCTTTGGTTAATAAGTTTACACGTTATCGCAATGTGGTAACAATTTCCTGTAAGGCTACCAAACTTGGGCATGACCAAAAGCAGTGGCTTTATGGCTTCAAATGATAATCCGTAGACGTTATCAGAAGTACAACACCTTAAACTACCAAACTTGGGTAAAAACTGAGCAATCACTATGCGGCGCATGTTAATGTGTTTGCGTCTTTTACGTTTACAATATGACTTGGTTCTGTAGAGTTTGCCAAACTTGGGCAGCACTGAAGTGTCTCAATATTGGGGGTTTTGATTGCCTAAATGCTAATTGGCCGATATAACTGGCACGAGTCCAGTCGTTTAGCCATCTGCATTTATTCCGTTCTGCTCTGCACATCGATCTGCTTGGTTCTCCAGCTGTCGGACACTTTGCCAACAACAGCTGGGAGTATTCACGGGGAGATCTCTTCCGTTGTTATCCAGGTATTGCTCTGTGCATTGCGACAACTTTTAATGTACTAGAAAAAAAGGCCAGTACAGAGGTGTTGAACTTTGAAAATATTCCAGAAGTGTTTTTATATAACAGCTGACTAAGAAAACTACAAGAGCCCATGAGTTTTGAATTGGTCATCGTGAGATGTATTCTATTCTAAATTAAATACACAAAAGCTCTGTTGGTTATTTACTGAGGTGGTCTTCTAATTATCGGCTGCCTGCGAAATTGCAGGCTGTGTGGCACGGGTTGCGAGTGTGGGTTGAAAGTGGACTTCAGCTCTTTTGTTTAAGCGATTTTAAAGGATGCGATTTTATAACCGAGTGCTTTAAGATTGTTAAAATGAGGGTATTGTTTGGGTATTTATTGGATTCACTTGCTTTGTTAAACTGATCGTAAAGTAAACATTTTAATTCTGAGTACCGCGTGCGTGCATATTATGACGCGGAAAAAATTCTGTCTAGACAAAACTACGCTGAGTAAAGCAGGTCGGTACGTGTGTGAGTGCCAAATGTAAATGAGGTAAGCTGGGACACGTGTCGACATGTGCGGTGGTTCAAGGTGTCTTTGCGGACGGGACGTCGAAATGGCAGCAACGCGTTGCTAGGTTTACCGCGTGAACTTGCCTTGAGCCCAGAGGTCGCAAACGGGTTTTGATTCCTTACCCGTACCCGGCCGCACCAGGGTCGCAAATAGGGTACCCGTACCCGTACCCGGCCGGGTACGGGTACCCGTTCCCTACCCGTACCCTACCCGAAATGAGTGACAAACAGTTACTCACCAGTGACTCACGGCCTACCCGTACCCGTACCCGGCCGCACCAGAGTCGCAAACGGCTACCCGTACCCGGCCGGGTATGGGTAGCCGTGTATCGGGTAGGGTACGGGTATCGGGTACCCGGTTGCGACCTCTGCTTGAGCCGATTTACCCAGGTACAGGCACACTCTGGAAATTAAACAATCTCTCGCCCATCGTTGGCGGAGTGCGGTAGCGTGCTCGTAAATGTTCACGTGATATTTTTGGTTGCCACCGAACTCCAAGGCTGGGGGGGGGGGGGGGCCGGGCAACGAAGGCCGAATTAAATAAAAACAGCTCACAGAGTTATAATTATCAGACACGCGGGTGGTGGTGATTGACGCGAGGGTGCTGGCTCTTTGAGGGTTCTCGCCGAGGTGTGATGTGGAAGTTTAGGCGCAAACGATACTCTCTGCAAGGCTGCGTATACGTTGATTTCAGGCGCTTTCACTTTACAGTCGGTTCAGAGCTTTCTATCTCTTCCAACTATATTTATTTATGCGTTTAATCGTGGCATCAAAGATGTTTCTGAACATCATAGTTTTATTCAAGTTCTGTGTTTGGGGAAAAAAAAAATTCGTATCATTGTCATGCACACATTTGCTCAGCCTTGTCTACAATTGTAAAAAGAAAATGTTTTCTTATTTTGGCATTCGTATCCGTTTTGTGGGCTTCTGCGCATGATTCTGTGTGCATCCATGATGGGTATGCTGAATGCGTACAGACATGCGTTTCCCTCCCGCTGCTCTGGTGACTATAGCTTCCCCATGTGTCCCTTAAGCATTATTGGTTATTAAGTCTGGACCCGTCCTCAGGGATGGACTAAAACAACTGAGAAAGATCCCCCGTGAGCCTACAGAGGCTGTTGGAGCAAGTGGTGTTTGCGAACACCTAATGAAGGCTGCACGGCGTATGAGGCGGTGATACGCGCAGCATGGCGATCGGCCCCTTTTTGTTTCCTCAGTGCTGATATTTACACACTGCACCAGGTACTCATTTAAGGTTGAGTTCATCTAGGGCAAGCCCAGGACCTATTCAGATATTCACAATTCAGCGTTGGCCATGAGCGGGAATCGTACTTGGGTCGGCGGGTTCGTAGCATCGTGTATTATGTATGTATGTTGAACTTGTTTTGCACTGTACGTAGCCAACCACGCTGATCGGAGGTGCGTTAACCGCAAGGCTACCACTCCCCACGTTCATCTTCAGGGACACGCACGCACCCCGCCTCTCCACTGGCAGCCACGTCCTTGCGGCGGGAACTAACCGGACGCTCGCTCCTTTTGCAGGACCGATGCTCGGGGACCCAAGCAGCCAGCCCTGGACGAGGTGATGGTTCCACCGCTCCCGTCGGCATAGCGACGCCGCAGCGGGGGTGCGGGGAGGCAGCGCTCGCGCGTCCCGGCCACACAATGGGGGACGTCGCCGGCGAGAAGAACAGCGGAGCGTGCGCGCTCTTCGACCGCTTCGTGCAGGCGGGCACCTGCAAGGGCACGCTGCGCGCCTACCAGGACCTGTGCGAGCTCGTGGACCTCAAGCCCAGTGACTTCAGGACCTTCTACCCCAAGCTCAAGTCAAAGCTCAATTACTGGAAGGCCAAGGGCCTGTGGAGCAAGATCGACAAGCGGGCCGCGCACAAGGACTACAAGAAGGGCAAGCAGTGCAGCAATGTGAAGGTACGCAGAGGGGGGGGGGTTAGATTATGCCCACGTTGGGTGATTGATTTGACATTTGCACCGCGCTCCGCGTGGCTTTCACCTTCCGTGTATTTTTTTTGAACATTTATTTTGTGCGTCTGGTAACAGTGTGTACATTTCTGTGTAGAGCTTGGTGCCCACATTTTTTGGTGGCTACATCGATTTTATACGCCCACTGTGGCGGTTCTCGACATTGTAAATGACAGTTTAGAGTGATTGTATTACTTGCATAGTGGATACATTAATCAAAGGCGAGAAGTCTACAAAACGCACGGCAAACGTTAGCCCCACTGCCCACTCTATCAATGCGGAGTTGATCTAGGGGATAAACCTGAGGCCCTGAGAGAAAACGTGGGGAGAAAACTGCCCCACATGTGACAACCTCACCCTATTGTGTCCAGCTTGTTAGTGTTTCCTTGGAGAATGTGCCTGCAACACCGGTGCATGGCAGCCGATCTGTAACTTAAGACTCGTTTTTTTGAAGGACGGCAAGTTATTATTCAAGCCACACTTTGGTTCATGTAGGTTAAACCCACTGGGTGTAGGCTACAGTACATATCAATGAATGTGAGCTTTTTTTCATTCCAAATTTCACTTCTCATTTAATAAAAAAGATTAGCCTTTTGCCATTTTGTTTCTCCACCCATGTTATTACATTTGTGCTATTGGCACAAGACAGTATCTATTCGGAGTTGAACATCACATTGTGTTCGAGATAGTCCATGGAAAGTGATATTGTATAACTACTTCTGAGATCCTTTTAGGGACCTCATATCGACACTAGGGCCACAGCGCCTTTCCCAGTACCCTGCGGTCCTGATTGGACTCTTCAGCCACCAAAGGTCGCAAAGTGCAACAAACACGACTTCCCCGAGCAGTCCTCGTGGAATACGATGCGACAGTCAACATAAAAAATGTACAGATGATGCCTCGCAAGTCAAGCCGAAGTTATTACATGTCGGTTTAGTTTTATTTTCTATCTTGATACGGTGACTAAGCTGTGACCAATAACTAGCTTGAGCTGAGAACACGGTTTCAGCAGGGGTGGCTGAAACCCAGGTTAGAACCTGCATTGTTACATTTTCTTGTTGATTTTATTCATTTTGTTATCCAGAGGATGACTAGTTAAAAAATGTGAAACCGATTATATATTTTTTCTACATGCTGTGCAAATTAGCAGCATAACTGTGTTGGCATGCAGCCCGAGGTGATATGAAGGTTTGCTTGCATATGACGTACAGCGCTCTGAGACATGAAAGCATAATTTTGGCTTCAATCCTCTTGTATCATGTGACCACAGATACGTGTGAAGCAATGTCTCATGCAGTGATGTATAAGCATTGCTTTGCAAACTGCACAAGTAAAACACCTCCTACGACAACTAACTGCGATTAATTGATGTGACAATAATCTTAAATTGTCCTACAATCGTGTACAGGATCCTGCGAATAATACTTCCAAGTTGTGCTTAATAAGGGGAAGATTTAGTGGTGTGCTATTATTTATACACCCGCATGACTAACTGTGTGTATGGATATTTTCAATATTATATAACAATTTCTTGATGTGTCAACCTAAGTTTGTTTTAACCATTACATGTATACTCTGGTTCTTTCAGGTAAAGTCACGTGGGTGAAATAAAAAAATAGAAATAACTAAATTAAATCATTACATGTAGGCTAGAGTTTGAGATGCAGATGTTCTTTTATAACCGTACAAATTGGCTCATATCTCCCATTAGACATGAAGTTAATGAAGATAATAAAAAGTAGCACTACTCAATGATTCTTCTTGGTTCTTTCGGTAAAGTCACGTAGAATGGAAATAATAAAAATTAAACATAATAAAATAATTCTCACAACGTTTCGGCCACAACGCAAGCAGCCGTCCTCAGGTGAAGACCAGGTCTGTCGGGGAGACAGCGTCTGACGCTGTCTCCCCGACTTTACCGAAAGAACCAAGAAGATGAATCCCTGCAGTCACGAAAGCTTTAAATCGAAATTTACTCAATGATTTTTACCCATTTTAAACATTCTCAGAATATTCTTCCTCCTGGACAATTTCTCACCAATGAAAATGATTGGCAAGAGAAGGGACGAGTTCACTTGATTTGTGCAGTTTTTTATGTGTTTTTGTTTCTCTAATGTCCCAGCCAATTTTGGTTAATGTAGCTTTAATTTATGACATACAACGTACTTTAAAGTAGACGACATCATCTATCTATTTGCAGCACCTGGCATTTATAAAAATAGTGAGCAGTGGACGGCACCAAAGAGCCGAGCGGAACTCGCACACATGGCTCGCTTCAAAGTATATTTATTTATATCCTCAGTGTTTTAAGCCTCCTCCCCCTAGATCTAATTAAGCGGATTGGAAATGCTGAGAGATTCATCGGCGCAGCCAACAGGGACGCGCGTAGTCAGCAGCTTAAAGCGTTACTTGGAAGACCAGAGGTGTTAATGGGAATTCTTCCCTTCAGCACTTCTGCCCCTATTTCCCAGCTTGTAAGCGTGAAATATCAAAGGTCCAGTGGTGACAGATGTTGGCAGAAGGTGACACGGCTAAATTAGTGACGGCTATTCTCGGCGTTGCCGAAAAGAGAAGAGGTAGTTTGACCTGACTTGCCCGGTCAACCCAGGAAGAGGTTCCTTCCCTGGGTCATAGCTGAATAGAGCCAGGCACTCTGGCCAGAATGATTTCCATAAAATAAATGTTAATGAGAAAATAACACCCGGTATGTTGTGAACGGGTGGAGATACTCTATTCTGTTTTTCATGAAGAAGCATTCTGTAATTTAAACGACTAATGTTACGGCCATTAGAGTTACAATTACTGGAGCAAATCGATGCCAAAAATACATGTGTAATGTAATTTACAATAATAGGGAGATATGTGACAGTGTAACAACTGCAATATACCAATTTAGCAAATGTATCTGTAATTGGGAGAGATTAACAGGTCAATAGATTTTGAGATATTTTATCAGAGTGGTTCCACACCTGTTGTTGAATGAAAGTGTTCAAACAAAAACAAATTTTAATTGCCAACACCAAACCATAATAATGAATACAAAATCGTGAATGTAACGCTATTTAAAGGGGGACAGTTCTCAATTTACAATGCGGCCGCTGCAATTCTGCACCGCGCCCGCGCTTGCGCGTCTGCTGCTCTTGCACGGGCCGTGGAAGTGTTCCAAACGTGACCGGCTCCCCCCCCCACCCCCCCTGCTGATGGGAGCTGTCACCCCAATTATTTATAGAAATGCCGTGGAATCTGTAATGACCACTGCGATTGGGAGGGGCTGGTCGGATTACGTGAAGTTGGATAATCGCCCGTAAACACAGCAGCCCATTAGTCCAGATGCTCATGGGGACCCCCCCCCCCCACTTACATCCACCTAGTTGACACGAGGAGCGTTTCAAAACACTCTTCACGACGACGCGATATCGCTGTAATTGTGGCGTTATTTGGACATTCACGCGGCGGTAACTCTGACTCGGCATGGGAGCGTGGTGCTGTAATTTGTGTTTGGCCGAAATGACACACAAGGGAGGGGGGGGCAGTGTGCGTGAGAGTGTGGCCGCTGCGGAGACGGAGCGATTGAAATCGCCTCTCGTACCGGTGTTCGGTGGATTGTTACTGTACAGGACGGCGAGGCATACAGAGGGCATAATCGGATTGATCATAGCTGATGAAATGCCGCTTGGCAAGGTTAATGCTTAATAGTCATTCTTCTGGAATGTCATGCGCGTGTGTGTGCGTGTGCTAAGTTTCAAGTTTGGTTTTCACGAACTGACACGTGATTTCGATGTCGGTCAAGCTGAATGATCGACACAGGTGTTCGCTGCAACAGAAAGGCTGACAGTTTAGCAACCAGAGGTGGTGTGCGTTTGCTGCTGTTCTATCGGATGCGTTCTTACATGTTGAAGATTGGCTTTTAGGTGCGCTCAGCTTCACCACTCTACTGCAGATATTGGCGTTTCCTTTAAAGAGCTGAATGCTTAATTGGTAAAGCATATCTCATGTGAGTCTGATTCGAGTTGTTAAGCAGGCGGCTAATTTACAGTTTAGCCTCAGGGGGTTACATTGACTGTTAATGTAAAAAATACGTGTAGATTGCTGGGTGCATGTGGCAAATGTAACCTTCATTGCAGATGTGACATTTGATTCACAGGAATGTCAAGTCACGTAATCCTCCCACTGCATGTTTGGAAATGCAACAGTTTTAATTCGACCAAAAAATGGGAGCATATACTCGCTTGCAATACTGTAAATTTGATCGTTAACCATAAGTCACTCAAATGTGTTCATTTTGAGAGGTTCCTTTCAGAAAATCTGTAAATAATATTATTTGATGGGTCTTTTAGTTTGATGTTTATTAAGTTTAGAAACCCAATAACGTTTGAACAAATAATACGTTGATAAACATGCGTGTTTTTGCATTGTTATCCTACCCATAAGCTATATGCCGCGAAACACTTCCACAAGACCGATGTTCTAGGTGAACATTTTACAGATTTAGGATGAATTTGTGTCTGCTGGAGACAACTTCCTGTTACTTAATTTAACTGCGGATCAGAGGAGGAATCTGCTGTGCCTCTCCTTTAATGTGTGTCCTTGCATGCCCGCAATAGGTTGACTTTTTAGCACCTGCTCTGACCCCTTCTGAGTGCGGAGGCGTTTATGCTCAGATTAACATGGATAAGAGGATGGATTTGCCAGACAAACTCCACTTATCGGCGGCAGAGAAAAAAAAACCCACTGGAATTTTTTTTTTCATGGCTTGGTTTGTGGCCACAAATTACAGGAATATCAGATCACAGATGAGATTCCATTTAAGGTAATCCCTTTACAAACATAATGTAATTCTTGAGTGTTGCTCTTGAGCAAGGGTGGTGTCTGTACCCAGCCCAGGGTCCCGCTGCTATGTGAAGGCGGGTTTACCATCCACGTGCACAATTAGACACCATTTTGCCTCC